CATGTGAGTTTTCGAACTGTTGGGTTGACAGGAACTAGGGAGGAAACAGGAGCTCACCCTGTTAACGCGAAGACTGGACTCGAACTGCTGAAGCGTCGACCATTTCTGGCCGGCAACTTTCAGCATCGTTAAGCCGCTGCGCCTCTGAACAAATCCAGTGGAGGGAAGCCTTCCACTACTCTAAGTATTAGGTTCTACTGTTGACTGCCCTTACTGTTAATAATTTTTTTTTCTAAGATTCAGTTTGAATCTGCTTTCCTATATCTTAAATATATCATTCCTGTATTCTTGGGGGTGGGGAGGGGCGGAGAGCAGGACGGCTTTCTTCTGGTGACAGCCTTTCAAGTATTTGAATAGTCGTGTTATCATATCCCAAGTACTGCACCAAGCTAGGTATCCACTATACTATAGCTCTGTGCTTGATTTCTGTTTTCTGTGTGCAAAAGAGCTTTGCATTTGTCTCTGTTAAATTTCTGCTATCTTCAGTCCATTTTACTAAATATGAGCCTAAACATTTTATCATCATTGCTCTAGCCAGTTCTCTTCACCCTCAGATAATTACTAGTGGCTTCAGTAAGTTACTTTCAGCATCTCTAGGCCATTACTATACTGTATCTGTAAAATATTGTTTCTTCAATGGATGCACAACAGGGACTTTGATCTTCAAGATGGCACTAGTCCAGTGATAATTGCAGTGCAGCTTCACAGCACTTTGCCCCCAGTAGCCTTAGTTTCACCTAACCAGTTGATACCAATACCTTTGTGACCACTTCCTGTCACTTGAAAAATTCAGACAACCAATAACAAAGTTCATTTTGGTACTGCAACTTGCTCCATCTTCACCAGCTATTCAGTAAGCTATCTCAAAAATTGCTTTCTTCCAGTTTCTTCTGTGCTGCTGCTGTTTATCCTCCAATGTTTTCTCTTGCTTAAATCGGTTAGTTTTGCTTTCCATATCACTGGCAGGTGCTTTAGGATTGGATCTGGCAGAAACTGTCCATGGGATAGGAAGATTGTCAGTTATGTTGCAGTTCTGATTCTTCACTCATAGCCTTGCTACATCTTAACGTGGGATATTAAGGACCCCTTTCTCACCCACAAAGGCTATCTGTCCACATATAACCAGTTCCTTTCTATGTCAGAATCCTTTGACCTGGAAATTAAATAGCATCATCCCCAAATTAGTGACTGGGTGTTAGCTACTCCATTAAGACATTTCCGTGCAATTGGCCATATGCTGTCTGCTTTGCCAGGATTTGAAGTAGGCTGAAATCCTGGCAAACCCATCAAGTGAGAAGAAAGCTTGCTAATTATCTCCATGTAATGCATTGTCAGCCCTCCGAGGTAGGCCAGGTCAGGGAACAGACTCCACAGGAAATAATGAAACTATTCTTTATTGATATAAGTTATAGTAACACAATATTGAAAGCCGAAGAGAGTTAAGGAAGAGCCAGTTGGAGTTTCTTTCTATAGTTTTCTTTGTCCTCAGGCTTAAATCAAGTTTTGCTCATTGTCACATTCCTTCTCTAAAGTCATCTCTGTAGTTCTTTATATGCATTGTGACCATGAAAAATCAGAGTAGGCTACTCAGCTATAACTATCATTCTTCACACTGTTACCTGTGCAGCCGTGCCTTACTAATCAGCAGGTTCTGTGGCCTGGTGCCTACTACAGCAGTGACTCTTAAGAACTGAGTGGAAATAAAGTTGTCGATTTTTTCCCTCAGTGCTAGAATATTCTGACTGATATTCTGTGTAAGCTCAGAACTCATATGAGAGGCAAAATCTGCTCAGATGTTCTTTCAAACAATAATGGTTTCACATAGGCAGCTTGTCTTCTTCAGTTCTGGATTCTTTTGAATCCCCTTTCAAGCTGGGATGATAGGTAAAAACACAGAAATCCTTGCCTCAAAACTCTGCCTCTGCTATTCCTATGAGTAAGGCTTTGGTCCCCATCATCCACAGCTGCTATTTAGCAATAGTAGACAGTTATATCACAACCATATAATATTCTAGCTTTCAGCTCAGATCTCTCCGTTTCTGAAAATCTTTTAAAGTATCACTCCTTTTATAAATTTTCTCTGTAGTCTTCAGTAATTTTAATTATGATTTTACTCTTATTATATTCTTAATATTAATTACAATGATGTATTGTTAACTATTCTGGTTTTCTCAATAGAGGCTGAAAAAAATAGTAGAAACATTTCTGTGACTTTCAAAAGATTATGTCAAACTAATTAATAAAAAAACCCTGGATTGGGTTTAACCCGAATATTTCTCTGATAAAGCATATGCTTGGTACTGATGTGCTGTTTTCTTTCTTTTCTTTTTTTCAAGCTATGATAATTTTCAAAATCCAAAGAGAAAGGAGTCCAGTGGAGCAACTTTCAAACAAAAAGTAACATTAGCTTAACTGCTGTTAAAGCAGTATTAATTATGCTCATTGAGTAATTTTCCAGAAAAGTGTTTACATGTTAAATTGTATCTATGAACATGAATATGTTATTGCTAATATGAAGAACATTTTAATTATTTCAAGATTATTTTACATCATTTTAATTTTCAAATTATGCTTTCCTGAAAACTATATTAAAACCTTTGAGATATCACCCTTACTTTGTATTCAGACTTTTTGTTGGGGGG